AATAAGAAAGTGGTTTTGTTTTTAGGTCAATTTTAAATCGTATTTCCTTTTGATTGAATAAAAATACTTTTATTTAGCATGCTTATTGTTATTTGATATGATAAATAGATAATATTAAAGATGTGCCTAAATTTTAACTTTTTTCTTATAATTTATATAATATTTATATTCATTTTTAAATTTTTATTGTTTAACTATGAGAACATTGATTAACTCATTTGATGTGGATGGTTGAACTATTTACTTGCCACTCAAACAAAAGGGTTGCTTTTTAATTATTTTGCGTGTTGGTTTTGAACATATGTTTTACATTATTAAAAATACTAGTAAATGTGGAAGTGCATTGCACATTAAATTTTTAATACAAAAATTATTATCATCACTATTATTATTATTATTATTATTATTATTACTATTATTATTTAATTATGTATTCCATTTCCATAATAAAAATAATTTTTTATTTAATATGATGAATATATAACATTAGAAATGTCCTTAAATGTTTTTGACAAAATTGTATACTTTTTTTTTGTGTTTTATCTATTTTAAATATTTATTATTCAATTATGACATCATCATGAGTTTATTTGAAAAGTTTGATCATTGATAGGAATATAACCTTGTTTTCAGATCAAGTTTAAATTATATATTTCATCTACATTATATAAATAATGTTTGTTTATCATACTTTATTTTTATTTGATATAATTCATATATAATATTAGATATGTATCCAAACTTTTTTATAATTTTTATACTTTTGACTCTTTTTAATTTTTATTTTTTAAAAATTTGTTACAGTAACTCATTGGTTAATCCATTTGACCCAAACCACAAACCCACCACCCCAAACCATTTATTATTGCATTTCCATCATTGATAAAATTATGTATAATACTTATTTTTGTTCAATATAATAAATGTGTAATATTATAGATGAACCCAATATTTTATTTTTTATAAATATATAACACCAAATATGTGCCCAAATTGTTCTCTATTTTTTCTTTATTTTTGTGATTTTTATATTTTTATTTTAAATATTTTATTATTTAACTATGACATCATTTAATTTAATTTCAAAGTTTATTTTAGATTTGTAATTCCATTTTCATTGTTAATAAAAATATTTCTTACATTTCATACTTAATTTTATTTAGTTTAATGAATATATAATATTAGATATATGCTAAATTATTTTTTGTATTTTTATATATTATTTGTTTTATTTTTATTATTTAACTATGGCATTATTGATTAACCCATTTGGCTCAAATGGTTGAATTGTTTACCCGCCATCGAGAGTGAAAAAAATGGTTTGTTTTTGAATTATTTTTTAAAATATTTATTTTATACTATTAAAATCAATGTTATGGATTTAATTAATATAATTTAATAATGATAAAAATATATCTTAAATATAGGATTTAATGAGAGAATATACCTCATATATAAGACTTAATGAGAGAGAATAAGAGAATAATTTTATTTCCAATTGGTTTTAAATTTTATATTCCATTTCCATCATTAATAAAAGCTATTTCTTATTTATCATATTTATTCTTCCCTAATATGATGAATATATGATATTAAATATGTTCCCAAATTTTTCTTTAATTTCCATATTTGTTTTGTATTTTATCAAGCTTTAATTTATTTATAATTTAATTGTAGCAACAACGCAACATGGGTTGTCCCATTTGACCCAAAATTGTTTATTTTCTTACCACCACCTAGTTCCAAGTCAATTTCAAAAGTACAAGTTTTTATGTTATTAGAATTATTTATGTATGGATTTAATTAGAGGAATTTAGTAATTAAAAGAAACAAAAATGCCTTAAATATATGGTTAAATGAGGGCGAACGAGAGTTAATACCTTAAATGGGATTTAATGAGAGGGAATTGAATGCAACAAATAATAGTATTAAAATTACATTTCCTGCCTTCGTAATAGATAGAAATCCTATTTAAAAAAGGGTATTTTAGTCCAAAAAAATTCCAGAAATCTTAGACCATATTTTTATAGTAGTATAGATTGGATATAGATTTAATTTGTAGAATTTATTGGTGAAGAACAAAAATACTTAAAATAAAGTATAAAGAGAATGAAAGTTAATACTTTAAAGAGGGGATTTAATGAAGAAGAAATTAGTAGTACTTAAATTTTTTTTACCCACATAGTTAAAGAGGGACTAAATTCATAAATAGGGGTGTTTTAGTCAAGAATTACTTAATTTTTCTTAAATATAAGATTTAATGAAGGGAATTGAGAGTTAATACATTAAATAGTTAAATATAAGACTTACTGACAAAGAATATAATGAATTTAATAAAAGTAATAGTTCAAATTATTTTTTTACCCTCATAATAAAGAGAGACTAAGCTTAAAAAATAAGGGTATTTTAACAAAAAAAATTCAGAATATAGACCTAATTCACACTTTTAATAGTAATATAGATTATTGTACAAGAAATGCTAATACAGCATGCTTTTTGAAGTCTTTTCCATTTCTAAACTCCATGTCCTCAGTATAAATGATGTTTTCGGAATGAACATTAGTGCATCAATGATGTTTCCATTTCTAAATTCCATGAGAAAACACTAGAACTGAATTATCCCTTTCACTATAAGGGTGACACCACATAAGGACATTGTGGAAATTTCTGGCTGAATCTGTTTATGCTCCCCATAACAGAAGCTCCAAAAGCATTAAATGCAAAACCCATTTGGAGTTTTAATCAAAACCCATATAATAGGAGGCTGGATATGACACTAGAGGAGTTATAAAGCATTTCAAAGAAAAAAAAAACTAGAAATGGTCTAGAAGAGCTGGAGAGGTTTACAAATTTGTTTGGGGTAAACTGTAATAGGAAATATGCCGTAGTTTGAGCATTCTTGTACAAGATTATAAAACTATAATTTTAATTAATACAAGTTCATAATTGTACAAGATTATAGCTGCTTTTTTTGAAAGATAAAGATATAAACTTGATGAAAAAAATAGGTACCTTGGGCCATTTTCCTCAGGCTGAGTTTGGAAGGAGTATAAATGCAAATATTTAGAGTGCAAAATCTTATATTTTGTATGTATTTATACTGTACATATTTGCATCTGTACTGCTTCCAAACTGAGCCTCAATTAATCTACAGCAAATGCAGTGCACCTGGCCTAAAGCCCAAACTGACTGGATTATTTGTCAAAATTGGTTCAGCTTTGTTCATTTAAGGTTTATCTGCAGATTGGCTGATAATTAGGCCTGTTCATGGGCCCGGCCGGGCCTGGCTTGGGCCGGGCTTTTACTCATCATTAATGGAAATACGCTAGGCCCGAGCCCGAGCCTGAGTCCGGCCCGACCAATGGGCCTATAACTTGGGCCCGAGCCCGGCCCTGATAAAAAGCCCAAAGCCCAACCTAATAAAAAAATTACAATTTTCCCTATTCAAATTAGAATTAAAAATTCAGATGTTTTTTTTTTCCTATTTAAATGAACAATGGGCCTACAAGATGGTTTTTTCCCTTTCTTTTACGTTTTAAAACACAATTTTACATTCTTAAATCAAAAAAATTATTCAAATGGACATAATCACATAACTCATTTTAAGTCTAATTTTAGGTCGGGCCGGGCTATTTTGACAAAACCCGAGCCCGGCTCGAATTTATTGTGGGCCGGGCTTTTTGGCCCAAGTTTAAGCCCACGGGCCTATAAACATGTTCAAGCCCGTCGGGCCACCCGGCCCATGAACAGGTCTACTGATAATATATACATAATGTCTTTAGTTGGTTCAGCAAATACAATATACATTGATGGACTTAGGATGTTTTAAATTTCAATTAATTAGTTACTTGCTTCCTTGTTGCTTCTTATATGATTAATGGGTAGCAAGTGAACTTAAATGGGATGATTTAATGATTTTTGAATGGGTTGCATTTAGGGTTGTCAATGGGTTGGGTTGGACCAGATGGACCCGAACTGATTGGGTCAGTTTTGGTTCCAAGAACCGGAATTGATGGATTGGTTTTGGTTCCTGATATATTGTCCTGATTCTTATTGGGTTGGAACCAGTTCCACCCAGTTCCGAACTAATTCAGACTTGATCAGATCTATATATAATATTAAATATATAATATATTAAATAAATTAATACTATATATAATATTTACAATACATTTATTATAATCGGGTCCATTGGATCAGATCTGACTGTCTCGAAAATAGATCTATTCAGTTTTGGGTCTAAAATTATAGACCCTATCAGATTTGGTTCGATTCCAGGTCCTTAATAATTCTTGTTGGGTTAGTTTTGATTCTACCTAGACCCGATCCGTTGACAGCCCTAGTTGCATTTTTTATGTTGTTTATCCTATTATGTGCATTTTTTTCATGTTTTTTTAATCTCTTTAATTGAATATCACATTATATATTTATCTCTTTACATGTTAATTGGATTGTGTTGGATTTGGATTTTCATAGATTCCGATTAGGATAAAGATAAACCAAACAATATCAACCGGAATTCAATTTTGATTCCTGACAAACAAGTAGAGGAATAGGCCATTCCGATTCCGATTACGATTCCAATGGTGAATCAAATTAACTGATTGCTATTTCTCAAACCACTTATTTGCCAAACATAATCTCAACCACTTTGGCAACTTTCCCCCATTTATCGAAAAAGATTTAAGGCTGAGTTTGAAAAGAGTACAAATGCAAATATGTACTGTGTAAATACATATAAAATATAAGGTTTTACATTCTATATATTTGCATTTGTACTCCTTCCAAACTGAGCCTAAATGCAAAATACAAATATATACAGCATAAATACATATAAAATAATACAAAATATAAAGTTTTACACTCTACATATTTGCATTTATACTCTATCCAAACTCAGCCTTAGGCTCAAAGGAATACGAATACAAATTTGCAAAAAAAAACTTCTATTTTATATTATATAATGTGCATATTTGTATAATGTGCATATTTGTATTTGTCCTCCTTCCGAACTGAGCCTAAGAACGGGGCCTCAATAGTAATACAAATCAAAATAACACCTTTGCAGTTTGCACTGTGCTTTCCCTGCCGCCGATTGTTGACCGCCATATTATTCTCTGTATTGCCTCCCACGCACGAACGCACGCATACACAGCTGACAGCACATAGTTGCACGCACATAAAAGACGCCCATGGCGGAAGTGGAACCCAAGCAGAAGAAGGCAAGTGGTCGGCAGTGTTGTATCTGTAATCAGAGGAGGGCAGTCCTTAAGAGACCTAAAACACTTGAACAGGTAGGCGTTGAGGTTTTAATTTAGGTTGAACTAAGTCAAAGCTATAACTTATGTTCAATTATCACTATTATTGTTTTAATTTGAAGGGCTTAGGCTACTTGCCTGAATTTAGTCAATGCTAGAGTTCGTTCCTTCCGTCTGATATGCTGCATCTTTCGCTTAAAGCCTAATATGGTTAATTTCTGAAAGATATGTAGGGAATGCTTCTACGCTGTTTTTGAGGATGAAATCCACAGGGTTATTGTGGACAACCAACTCTTCAAGCCTGGAGAACGTATTGCTATTGGAGCATCTGGTGGAAAAGGTGATTCTTTTTTTGCTTTCCTATTTCTATTGGAAGATGTGAATACTTTGGGGAGAATTATACTGTTTCCTAGTATTTCAATTATTTTAACTAAAAACTTGTTCATCAACTTAAATGCTTAAACAATATTTGCTTCAAACACATGCTAAGCCAATATTGCATTAGATGCTGCTTACAAACTAGTCATTACTCAGTCATTGTGAATAGGACGATGCATGATTTGTTTGAGGGCTTTTAGGCAGGGTGACCCCCTCTCCCCCTTTCTATTTACTTTGATTGCTGAAGTGCTAAGCAAATTAATTTCTAGAGCGAATTGCTTGCAGCTTTTTAGAGGTTGGTCAGTTGGGAGAGACAATATTTTGATCACTCACTTGCAGTTTGCACACGACATTCTGATATTTTGTAATGGAGAACTTAGGGAGGGGGTGGAAAACTTGAGGTTGGTGGTGTAACTCTTTGAGAAGATGTCTAATTTGAGGATTAATTGGTCAAAGAGCTTAGTGGTTGGAATGAACATTGAAGATGATGTTTTGAGGATTATGGCAGATTCCCTAGGTTGTGAGAAAGGAGAGTGACCTATGAAATATTTAGGTTTACCCTTAGGTGATAACCCTAGATCCGCTAGGTTTTGGTCTCCAATGGTGGAAAAGATTGAGAAGAACTTAGCTGGGTGGAAAAGGAATTATATCTCGATGGGGGGGGGGGTGAGAATAACTCTTATTAAATCTACCCTTGCAAATCTTTTAATGTACTACATGTCAGTGTTCAGGACGCCACAAAGGATAGTGAGGAAATTTGAAAAAATCATGAGGGATTTTCTTTGGGAGCTGGGGGGAAAAAAGAAGGATCATTTGCAAATGGCTATGGAGGTTTCCTAATGAAAATGAGAAATTATGGCACAAAGTTGTTGCAAACATTCATGGCATGTCAAGCAATGGATGGGATGTTGGATGTCTCCGTAGAGCTACCTGGGCTGCTCCCTAGAAAGCCATCCATGATTTTCTTCCTACCTTTCTAAATCAAATCAGGTATGACTTGGCTTTTGGTCAGAAAATCAGATTTTGGGAGGATGTGTGGGTTGGGGATACCCCTTTGGGTGAGAGATTCCCTTCTCTTTTTGATCTTTCCAGGTTCAAGGGTAGGCCTATTTCAGAATTCCTAGGTCAGCATTCTCATCCCTCAGGGCTGAATTGGAACTTTGGCTTTAACAAGAACCTTAGAGAGTCTGAACTTCTTAGTGTGTCCGAATTGTTAGGCTTGCTGAACTCAGTGGTTTTGGGAGAAGGTGGATTGGATTCTAGGGTTTGGGGTCCTAATTTTGATGAGTTGTTTTCTTGTAAACCTTCTTACATTCTTTGGTAGCCACCTCCTCTTCTCCTTTCCCACTCAAAGAAATTTGGTACTGTCCCATTGCCCCCAAAATCAGTACTTTTTGTTGGAAAGTGTTTCATGGTTGTATTAATGCCTATGATCTACTTCAAAGAAAACGACCTATTTGGTGTTTGTCCCCCAATTGGTGTGTCCTATGTAAGTTGAATGGTGAGAGTGTGAGTCCGCACTTCATCTTCTAATCTCTTGCCCTTTTGTTAGCTTTATTTGGAATTGGTTTGCTTCCCTTTTTGGTGGTAGGTGGTCTTTTCTTGACAACTTGGATGGCTTGTTTAGCCCTACTAGCATTAGTTGCACTAAAAGGAGGGGTAGGATCCTATGGAGGTGTACTAGAGCGGCACTACTGTGGACTGTTTGGGAGGAAAGAAATGCAAGAATATTTGAAGAAAGAGAAAAAAGTAAGGAAGTTGTTTGAAACAATAACTTTGAGAGTGGAACATTGGGTAAAAAGCATGAAGTTGTTTTCAAATTTTAAGGTTGAAGATTTTTTCAGGGCTTGGGGTGTTATTGCTGCCTCTTCACCTACAAGATAGTGTTACGGAAAAACCCAAGAAAATAGATTCGAATGGCACCCAAACTGAAAGTAAAAGTAGAGATAAAGAGAAACAAGCACAGAGAACACACACAGATTTACGTGGTTCGGCTTATAGCCTATGTCCACGGGCGAAGGAGGAACAGGAATCCACTATGAAGATGGAAATGGAGAAGAAGTACAAAGTTGTGCTCTCACAGAGAAAACCCTAAGCCCCAAAGTACACCCAAAGCCTCACTCGTCTCTCACAAGACTTAGACTTTGTATACAAGAGAGAAAACCTCCGAAAAATACATAACTCTTCGTATTTGGTTTGGACCTATAAGATGAATATGGATTGGGTCTGCCCAACCCTATGCATCTACCACAAACCACTATGAAAATTTCCCTTTGGGTTCTTCTCAAATTAATTCGGGGCGGATTCATGAAGTGGGTTGCCACAAAGAATTCAAGGCACAAACATAACAAATCTCCACCTTGGCTTGAATTCTCTCAAGCATCACAGAATAGTAGTCTCCCTCCACCTTCTCCAATAAAAGCCCCAATGGGCAAGCTCAAATGTTGCAAACACCAATCAAGTCCAAGCAGTGCTTGAACTTAGCCACAGGAAAAGGCTTTGTTAACATATCAATTGGGTTATCTATAGTACCAATCTTCTTCACAATGATATCTCCGTGTTTTACAACATCACAGACAAAATGGTACCTCACATTAATGTGTTTTGTCCTCTCATGGTACATTTGATCCTTGGTTAGATGAATGGCACTCTGACTATCACAGTAGACAACAGTCACCTTTGGACCCAAACTGAGTTCACCAAACAAACCTCTCAACCAAATAGCTTCTTTAACTGCCTCAGTCACTACCATATACTCAGCTTCAGTAGTAGATGAAGCAATTGTAGACTGTAAAGTAGCTTTCCAACTAACAGCACAACCGCCAATAGAAAATACATAACCTTTGAGTGATCTTCTCCTGTCAAGATCACCTGCATAATTTGAACCAACATAACCCATCAATCAAACTGTCACTGCTCCTTCCAAAGTCCAGACAAGCATCTGATGTTCCTTTCAAGTATTTGAGAATCCACTTCACTGCCTACCAATGTGTCTTGTTAGGACATGACATATATCTGCTCACCACACTAACTGCATGTGAAATGTCAGGTCGTGTGCAAACCATGGCATACATAATACTCCCAATTGCACTAGAATAAGGGACATGTGACATACATCTTTCTTCTTCATCTATCTGTGGTGGTAAATTTGCTGAAAATCTGAAGTGGGCTGTAAGAGGAGTACTTACTGGTTTAGCATCTTTCATGCCAAAACGCTCCAAGACCTTCTCAACATATTTCTGTTGTGTCAAACACAACTTCCCTGCTTTTCGGTCCCTCTGAATCTCCATGCTAAGAATTTTCTTTGCTGCACCCAGATCTTTCATTTCAAACTCACCACTCAACTGTGTTTTTAATTTGTTGATCTCAGATATTTCTCTTGCTACAATAAGCATATCATCAACATAAAGCAGCAAGTAAACAAAAGAATCATTTGCAAGTTTCCTGAAATAAATACAACCATCATATTTGCATCTAGAATACCCAAGAGCCACCATAAAAGAGTCAAATCTTGTATACCATTGTCTAGAAGACTGTTTTAAGCCATACAAAGATTTCTTTAACAAGCAAACATGGTCTTCCATCCCTTCAACAACAAAATCCTCAGGTTGATGCATATAAATCTGTTCATCAAGTTCTCCATGCAAAAAACCAGTTTTAACATCTAACTGTTCTAATTCCAAATTATGCATGGCAATCAAAGCAAAAAAAACACGAATAGAGCTATGTCTAACAACTAGTGAGAAAACATCATTAAAATCAACACTTTGTACTTGCCTGTAGCCTTTTGCAACCAATCGTGCCTTATATCTAGCATCCTCTACACCTGGAGTACCTTATTTTCTTTTGAAAACCCATTTGCATCCAACAATCTTCTTTCCTTTAGGTGGTCTTACCAACTCCCAAGTCTGGCTCTTTTGCAAGGATTCAACCTCTTCATGAATACCTGTCAACCACTTAGCAGAATCAACAAATGAGATAGCTTCTGCATAAGTATTAGGTTCTGCAACATCAACATTCTCTGCAACTGACAATGCATAGGCAACCAAATCAGCATAACCATATCTTTGAGGTGGTCTAACCTCTCATTGTTCTGCCTCTAGCAATAGAATACTGCTCTTCATCTTCTTCCTCTTGTACATGTTCTTCTATCTCAGTAGAAATGGGCACTTGGATTGATGTAAATTGAGGTGAGGAAGAACTTCTAACTTCTAACTTCTAACTCCACCTACTTTCTTGAACCTTGTGTTTTATTTGCATCACAAGAAATTGAAGACTCCTTTCTTGGGTGAAGCATAGTAGACTCATCAAAAGTGACATCTCTGCTAACTATGAATTTTGATGATTTAGGATCAGGACACCACAATCTGTATCCCTTCACACCTGAAACATAGTTGAGCAAAGCGGGGAACCTTAAGATTTTAATAAGTACTTTTGAGAGGGTCTCCAACTTGAAGGTAAATTTTGATAAAAGTTGTGTGGCTGGAGTAAACWTGGAGAATAGGGAGATTGAATCCATTGCAAAATGCTTAGGTTGCAATRTTTYTTCTTGGYCTTTGACATACTTAGGGCTACCCTTAGGAGCCAACCCTAAAGAAAGTAGTTTTTGAACCCCTATTGTGGAGAAATTTGATAAGTGCTTGGCAGCTTGAAAAAAGAATTACATTTCAATAGGGGGTAGGCTGACTTTAATTAAGGCTACACTTGCCAACCTTTCAACCTACTTCCTTTCAGTGTTTAGGATTCCTCCAAGGGAGGCAAAGAAACTGGAGAAGAGAATGAGGGACTTTCTATGGGAAMCAGGAGAGGTGAAAAAGGATCACTTGATCAGATGGGAGATAGTTAACAAACCAAAGGAAGAAGGGGGTTTAGGGATAGGGAACATAGTGCTGAAGAATGTAGCCCTTATAGGGAAGTGATGGAGATGGCCCCGAGAGAGAGAGAGAGAGAGAGAGATTATGG